ATGAATTCATACATAGGCATAGTACTATGTCCATTTCAATTGATCACATAATTTAGCTAGACATTGGATTACTATATAGTTGTGGTAAAATTAATTTTTCAAGAAAATTGTTTTCCACTTAATTTGGTTAAATTCTTATAGAGGTGCATTGACTGTATACTTGTTCAACAATACCTTATACTTTTCTGCAAGTCTTCTTTGTTCAGTTTTTGACCTCTTATTTTTTCTTTCATTTACAGCAGTTAGTCACTCCCTCAGTATCTACTTCCCCAATTATTTTTCTCATTTTTCCCTTTTATTTTTGTTTTTATTTACTAAATCTTCAGATGAATTCAGTTTAGTGAATTTACTAAGACCTTCCTTCTTATACCTTGAAAGAATGACTGAACTATGAAAAGCTATAACTATAGAAGAACAAGTGAAAATTATAGACCACATGTGAAAACTAGTGGACTCTCAAAATAAGTCAATGCTTCAGACTGTAACTTTGGTGGTTACTTAACGTTTTGATGACTGTTTAAAAGGTGAAAGGTGTTCCAGTTCATACCACTTCCAGAAGCTTTGCAAACACCAGGCTTAACCTCACCCACTGCTGACACCTGTGGCTGGGCCTCAGCAGCTGTTCACTGCAGGCATCAACTTTGTACAACAGATAATACCTTCCATTTCAGATTCTGCCTTTGTGTTGGATATGAAGTAAGGAAGTTTATTTATCTTTCTCTAAAGTAAGAAGAAGAAGTGCTTAAAACTTTTTCTTAAACTAGATGTTTTATTGAACTTCTGTTTTCTGTTTTTTGTATGTCTGAACTATTTAATAAAAATGAAAAGAACAACTGTGTTACCCAATTAAATTACCAAAAATGGTAAAAGCACAAAAAAACAGATAATTCAATGACTGTTAAATCATGGAAGCAATGATCAAGGCTGTTTGTCTGATTTATTGTTAAATTACTATGATCTAAGATCCTTTTGAAATTAAACAATTGGGGAGGAAAAGATAAGATTATAATCACATAAGAGGTACACATATATGAGTGTCTGCTAGAAAAAAGTGCTATTCTTGGAAAATTAACCTGAGGAATCCAATTAAACTTCCAAAATTGCACAGCTCTGAATAAAACTGAAGATCTGTCTTTGATTACTAATGAGAAGATTTTTGAGTGATTTTGCCAAAAGGTTATTTGCTCATTAGAACCAAGTGAAATTACATCTCTGTGCTTCAGAAACGAAAAGAATTACTGTTACACAAGGATGCGTGTAAGGACAGTAATTACAGTTGCCACCGAGCAGCCATTATTAGGTGACAGCTGAAGGCACCTAAGCCGTTGTAGGCAACGGATTGTACTGTCAGCTGCATCCCTTTGTAAGACTGAATGTAAAAATATTCTCTCCAAAGCAATGTCAGTTTTTTTCAGCTTTATTGAGGGATAATTGACAAAGTGTAAATTAATTAATTACAAGCTATACTAAGACACTGCAAATCATCCTATAGAAGGTCTACAAGATGATGATTTGACAGACACCTGTGTTGGCCTGATGGCTACAATAAAGTGAGTCATTGCATTCATCACTTCACATATTGATAGTTACCTTTGGTGGGGGGGTTGGTGAGAACATTTAAGATTTATTTTATAAGCAAATTTCAAGTATGCCATACACTAGGGTTAGCCATAATCATCATACTGTACATTAGATCCCCAGAACTTATTCATCTTACAACTGAAAGTTTGTTCCCACGTCATCCCCCAATGTTGTACCAACATCCCCTAATTCCCCGCCCCGCCCCCCGCAGCTGCCAGCTACTGGCAACTACCATTTTACTCAGTTTCTATGGGTGTGACTTTTGTTCTTTCCTTTTGCTTTAGTAATGCAAATTTACCAGCCACTTACAATATATAAATCTTATTAATTTTGTTGTAAAGTAAATCTTTGCTTATAATAAAAAGTAAAGTTATAATTATACAATGGTCTTTGTCTTGATAACGTTTACTTTGATAATGTCTTAATAATATTTATTTTGATAGCTAACATCTTTTCACTTTCTTATTGCCACATGAACGGAAAACCCTGACACACCCAAGTATACACTAACAAAAGGAACTAGAGTTGCCTTTGACACGTGAATATGAACTGTGTCAGTGAATATTATAATTCTTGAAGATTCCTTCAAAATGAATTCAAGTTATATGTAACAATGAGATCATCTTTGAAAATATATGTATCATTTACATAAGGAGCAAGTTTGTCAGTAGGATAGTGTTGTGAACTGAATTGTGATGCCCCCAAAAGTCAGTGATGGAAGCCTGAACCCCAATATGACAGTATTTGGAGGTAAGGCTTTGAAGGAGGTGACTAAGGTTAAATCATTCCATAGGGTGAAACCCTAGTCCAATGTGACAGGTGTACTTTTAAGTAGAGGAAGAGACGTTGTCAGTGTGCACGTGCAGAGGAAACACCTGGACAGGCCATGACGAGAAGGCAGTTATCTGCAAACCAGAGAGTCCTCACCAGAAATCACCCCTGCTGGCACCTTAATTTTGCACTTCAAGCATGAAGAATTATGAAGAAGTAAATTTATATAATTTAAGCCATCAGTCTGTGGTGTTCTTTCATGGCAGGCCAAACAAACTAACACAGATTTGAATTAAAAATGTATATTTTTATGTTGACCTCTTGATGAAGGAAGAGTCAAAAGATTTGTTTTCCATGTGTCTGATGATTCTTATCTGTTGAGACATTGAAAGGCTTTATAATTTTTGGTGCTCACCTGAGCAGGCTGCTCCAGCATTGGAACCTCTCAACAATGTACTCATAGAGCTCAACTCCAATTCTCTTTTATCCCAGGAACTTGGAAAGACCGAGTTCTTCAACTGTGTTCATTATGGCGGCTGACAAGTGTTGATCAAAGACTCATCTTATTCAAATAGATGAAAAGTTTACCACATTCTCTATTTAAAATTGTTTTAATAGAGGCTTTCAAAAATGTGAAAAAATGTGTTCAAAGTTCAATGTTGTCTTTTAATATTTGTCCTTGAGCATGAGAATGAACTCGTTGGTAATAACTAGGAGATTCATATGTTGAATTTATGTTTGATGATACCATTTAAAGAGACAAAGCTGACAAATTAGATCAATTTAATGACAGTCAACAACATTTCTTTCAGATATTTTGGCTGTGTTATTAATGCTAGTAAGTGGCAACATAGAACACAGCAAAACTTGATGCATTGTCAAGCACTAGAAGTGCTTCATCTGTATAGAGTTTCCAAAAATTTGCCTGAGTAAAGGTTTTACATTGTAAATAAATCCTTCGCCCTCAGAAGGATGCCGTAGCCCTTGTTGCCCAAGGCATTGTGGGCCTTTTGGATTCTACAGTAGGGACTTTTGGGACATCACCATGGTAAACATAATAGGTAAATACCAGTACTTGACTAGACTGAGAGAGTACATGGGTTCTTATGAAAACTGAAGGTAAATTAAACAGCCTCCTGTTCTTACAACCATTTCATAGTTGACCTGTTTCTTGTATTAGACAAATATATCATCAGTTCTGAAAGGAATGATGTCCTATGGCTGCAGCTTTGCTTTCATGCCTTCTCCTCCACCCTGAGCCATAAACAACATTGACCATTTACAATGCATATGGCTGTACCACTGATCTACATTTACCCAAAGTAATTTTTAAAGTATTAATATGTCAATGATCTGAAATGATATTGGTCTTTGCTTTTATGTATTTAAAATATACATTAAGCTGTCCAAAAAAAGTTGGGCACTAATGAGTAGACTGGGATTTGTTTCAAAACACTTCCTTAGAATTCTTATCGTGAGCCAGTGTGAGGGTGGTCAACTAAAGAAAACATACCTGTAGTTCAGCCATTAAATTTAGAACATCCCTTAGACTCTTGAAGAGAGTCAGACCCCCAGTGTGGTTAGAACCATTGCTCTAATGCAATCCTTACTTCCAGGTTATCAGCTGAGAACTACATTCACTTTTTAAAAGATCCAGCCAAGTGGGATTAATGCAGTGTGAAGCTAATCAAACCCATACATAACACCATCCAGTGGTTTTAATCACACCAGGGTATTAAGCAGACATTCCTGAATTCCTTTTAAATCTCAGAGAGGAATAAATATTTGGAAATTCAGATTAGTCTTCCATTGATAGATTTAGCTGTGAGCCAAAACAGTGATTCTAAAGAAAAATGAACAAGTCATGACATGTGTTCTACTTTTTGACTATGTACTTTTCCTCCCAAATCTTGCAAATGACCTGCAACCACTGGTGTCTGAAGAATGAAATAATAAAAATTGAAGAAAGATTGCTATTCTGGGTCATCTTTGTGAAATCTTAGGAAAATCGTGGAATACTCATATATTTAAAGGATAAGGAGTGAGCCTCAGTCATGCTTTTGTGAGCTAGATTATATCCGCTTCAACTGTGTACTATAGAAAATGTTCTGCCGACAGAAGAAAAAATCCGATGGAAATCCCCATTGCATGTAATTGAAGTTGGTCAGGAATTCTAAAGGGCAATAATTGTGTGGGGTTTACTGGAACATGCTGTTTCAATCTCTGCCCAATGTGTGATTGATTGTCACATTGAAAGTTACAAATACTTTCATGTTAGCATCAAGTTGTGCAGTGAAATGGACTTAACATTTGGAAAGGTGATTTAACTTAAATGAGAAAATATTTTTAAAACCCCACTGTTGATTTTTTCTGAAGGTAAAATGTAAAATGAAAGACTAAAAGATGAAAAGCCACGGGCATGTGTGGGTTTCATTACTAGTTTTAGAGCAAGAGAAAGATGAACATGGATGCACTTAAGATTACAAGTTAGTCAGGGATGTAGCATTATAAAGAACTAAAGTATCTGAGAAACACTTTAACTGCCCTTCCATTCTAAATGAAAGCTTTGCTGGATAGAGCAATCTTGGTTGTAGGTCTTTGGATTTCATGACTTGGAATACTTCTTTCCAGCCCCTTCTTGCCTGTAAGGTCTCTTGAGAAATCCACTGACAGTCTGATAGGAACTCCTTTGTAGGTGACTGGGCCTTATCTCTTGCTGCTTTTAGGATTCTGTTCTTCATTTTAATCTTGGCTAATATAATGATGATGTGCCTTGGTGTGTTCCTTCTCGGGTCCAACTTCTTTGGGAATCTCTGAGCTTTGTTAAAGGGACTTACCTAAGAAAAAGAAGATAAAAAAGATGAACAGTAAAAGGACAGCAAATTCACACTTATTAACAACCACACCTAAAACAAAAGCAAACTAAGAGGACAGCTAAATCAGGAGCAGAACCATAGAAATGAAGATCACATGGAGGGTTAGCAACAGGGGAGTGGGAGAAGGAGAAGGGGGGAGAAGGTACAGAAAATATGTAGCATAGACGGTAGGTAGAAAATAGATAGGGGGGAGGGCAAGAATAGTATGGGAAATATAGAATCTAAAGAACTTGAGACACATGGTCATAAACTAAAGGGGGGAATGATGGGGGAGGGGGTGTGCAGGGTGGAGGGGAATGAAGGGGGGAAATAGAACAACTGTAATGGCATGATTAATAAAATATATTTTAAAAAAAGAACTAAAGTAGTATGGGCAAAAACAAAAGAGACAAGTTTATAATAAAACTACAGGCTACATTTAAAGGCAGCAATCATTAGTTCTGGTGACAAACAGAATGAGCAAGTCTTTGTAAAACAGATCATACCTGGCCTGGATCTTGGGGAATAAGTAAACTTTCATTAATTTCTTTCTATTTTTAAAAGAATTCAGAGGCAAGTATAACTACACTGATCTATCAATAGCTAGATGTTTAAAAAACAACAAAGACCATAAAAGCTGAAAAATGGACACTAAACAGAAAACAGACCATCATTTAAGTGTGAAAATGTACATCCCGTGGAATAATGTGCCATGGAGATGGAATATACCATGTCCTACAAATGCTGTTGGCCTGATTCATATAGCTCAGAGGACCCAGGGTATTACATTACCTGGACATTATCCTATGCTCTTAAGTAAAGTCTGAGATTAAAAAGTTCATTCCAAGTCCACTATCTGGGGGGATCTGAAGGCATTAGCTGTCTAGGCTGACTGATAGAAATCCTACACACACCCTCACTGAGACAAGGCTCCACGTATTAAATTGCAGGGAAACTATTTCTGAACTGAAGGCAGAGCTGAGCTATGTTAAAAAGGCCACCAGGTGTCTGCTGTGAACATAAAAAAAAATTAGAAAGCAAGGTTAAGGAACAAACTTCTTATTTTGTTACCCTGCTGGGTGAGAAATGGCCAGCAAGCAGCAATGAGAGTGGGGAGAGATGGTGGAGGAGATGCTGGTCTGAGTGCCATGTCTGATGGGGATGCATTGGCTTACAAGTCTTCTCTTGCTTTTCATTTATTTTTATGACACAAACACTGCTTTTTTTTTTTAATACTGATCTCCTGCATCACCCAGAATGGGGAAGTTCAGAATAAAGAGGAATGCAGAGAGGGCAGGAGAAGCCATGAAACCAAATGCTTTCTGTGATGCAAAGGCAGAAGAGCGCAAGGTGGGAATTGGTATTTCTGCAGGGTCAGAAAGATAAGGATTTTTCCTGGGGCATTCAGCTACGAAGGTCCTGGATATTCATTGGTACATGCTCAGTTTGATTCTGTGCCCCATGGTCTCTATGCTGCAGGGTGTTTGACTACAAGTTTCAGGGACAGGATTCCAGTGGGAGGCAGTGATCCTGAAAAGGCTGAGAGTCTCATAAGACCTCAAGCTGGAGTTGGTGTGGTTTGAGAGTAAGTGCAAGAGGAGAGGTGATAAAAAGTGTTGAATCAAGAATGTAAATGACCTTATATGTGGGGCTCAAGGAATTTTAGACTCTCATCTTATAGCTCATAAAGAATTGTTAATATTTTATGCTCAGGGTGATAGATTTGTGTTTCAGCAATATCACTTCAATGGCAGCCTCAGAGATTGATTAGTCTGGAGGCAGGGCACAGCTTTAGAGGCTGAAGAAATATGCATGTTAGAGACACAGTCTAAATGCAGGAGATAATGGAACTGTGAAAAGGAAAGAACTGCTCCGAGTGACATTTTGTGGGCAACTCTAGGGGCCTTGGTTTTTAATTTGTTACTCAAGGGAAGGGGTGGAGTTCACAGCACACCCATGTGTATAGCTTGGATGATCATGATGACAGTGACATCATTACTGAAACTGCACATCTCAGGAAAAGAAAGGAGAGTCAGGGCAGAGGAAGACAGATTACTTCCATTTTAGCTACTTTGACATAAAGGTGCTCAAGGAGATTCCAGTAGGATGGCAGTTGACAATTTCAGTGGCTTAACATAATACAGGTTTATGTCTTCCTGATGTGAATTTCAAAATAGGCATTCCTGATCAGGGGGCAGCTCTCCTGCACATCCAAATGGAGGAAATCAGACTAACTCCCAGTTATTTTAACCCAGGGCCACCAACGTAACTGGCTTCATCGGCATCATTCCCGCATTGAAGGAAAACAGGAGGATTGGCTTGGGTGGGTAGCTGATCTGGATCTGTAACTGTGTTAGTTAGTGCACACCACTTCCGCTCAGGGAAGAGCTGTGCTGTGTGTAGGTAGCAAGTGGGGAGAGGCTTCCACAGAGCAGTGTCTACTCTCAATAGTCATGGAAAATCAAGACACATATGGATAAATGTGTGTGTGTGTGTGTGTGTGTGTGTGTGTGTGTGTATATATATATATATACACATATATACATATATATATTTAGGTGCTTCTATAAAAGTTCAAATATACAGAAACAGGCAATCTTCTGCTTTCTGAACTTTAACCCTGAATTATAAACCTGGTTCATATTTTTTATACTTGCAGTCATAGTTGGTGGTTTTCGCCCCAAGTACTTTAATTTTGTTTCTGGCCCTTAGCACAATCAGTGTCACAGCCAAGATTGTGACTTCTATCCTTGAAAAAATTTCCGCTTCATCCACTCCTCTTAACCCTTCACATCAGGCAGTGTGCCTTCCCTTTGTGCTGTGATCTGTGCTGTTCAGGCAGCGGGTCTTTCTGACAGTGGGTCAGAGGCAGCCAGTTCCTTGGTGTCTTCTGGAGACCAAGCCACAGTTTTTAATGGGAACTTCTTACCAAAGAGTCACTGATAGCCTCTACATATTAGACTGTACCCCCTACTTGGGAGGTGACATTCAGTCAGGACAAAATCACCATCAGCAAACAGGCTCCTCTGTGGTCTCTAAACGTTTTCATTTGATGGATTTAACATACTCTTCTTTCAAAGTGGGATGCTATTTTTAATCAATATTCATCAAACATATGCAACGTGGGGCTAGGGATTGCTTGACAGGAGGTAGATTTTATTCTTGTTAATGTTATTATGTCAAACAGTGCAATGAGTTGATTATCTAGATAAACTCAGACTAAAAATACTTTTGCTCATGCTGCCTGTGGGGAAGGGCAGTCTGGTACAAGAAGCTTTCCATCCCCAACTTGGCAGCATAAGAATAACCTTGGGCCTGGATTATGCCTAATCAGGAGATAAAGAGCACACAGAGCATGTGCTGGACTTACTGCCTCCTCTAGGAACATCTGCCCCTGTTTCAGACTCAGTGCACGCTCCCTTGTCCTGCTTCAGTGTGTGCATCCTATACATCTGGTCAACCTCACTGTTGTGTCTGTCTTCCACTGCATCACAAGAGGGATGCACAGGGGCCATCACCCTGCAGGGGCCACCGGGAGGGTCTAGCTGGTCATGAAGAACCAATACCCACAACTGAAGCTGATCTTGCTCTGTTTCTTCTCCTCATGAAGAAAGTGTTTCATCACCAAAGTTATAGGTTAAATTTGCATTGTTTTGTATTTTATATTTTTTACTTAAATTATAGACAAAGAATTATTCTGATAATTGTATATATAGCTCATACCGGAGAGAAAGAGAGAGTTATGTATACTTCCACATAGAATTTGGGATTTCCAGCCAAGACGGAGGTGTAGGTAGACACACTGTGCTTCCTTGCACAACCAAAAGAAGAACAACAACAAATTTCAAAACAAAAACCAACCAGAAATGACAGAAAATTGAACTGTACAGAAGTCTGACAACCACACAGTTAAAGCAGAAACATTCATCCAGATTGGTAGGAGGGGTGGAGACAGGCTGGGGGAGAGAAGATTCGCAGCAAGGTAGCAGTTGGAGGACCTGGTGAGTGAGGCAGCAGCTGATGGACTGGGCTAGGCAGTGGCTGGCAGAGCAGGAGGTTCCATATTTTCGTGTGGATAAACCAGGAGGAGTAACTGGGGAGCCAGACAGACAACACAACCCAGTGTTCCAGTGTGGGGAAATAAAATCTCAAAACCTCTAACTGAAAACACTTGTGAGTGTTGAGGCAACAGGAGAAACTCCCAGCCTCACAGGAGAGTTCCTTGGAGACACCCACAGGGTCCTAGAATGTACACAAGCCCACCCACCTGGGAATCAGCACCAGAGCGGCCCACTTTGCTTGTGGGTAGTGGGCGAAGTGACTACTGAAAGCCAGCGGAGAGCTGAGCAAGAGGCACTATTCCCTCTTGGCCTTTCCCCCATAAACATCACCACAACAGAGCCAAGTGCCTTGCCCTGCCCTGGCAATTACCCAAGATTCCACCTCTTACTATGTAACAGGTGTGCTAAGACAAAAAAAAAATGGCCCAAAAGAAAGAACAGATCAAAGCTCCAGAAACAATACAAGTAAGCAATGAAGATGTAATAGGGCACAATCAAGGGGGTCCCCCAAAATGGAGATTTGTAATGGGGTCCAGAAGTCAGACTGTCCAAAAAATACTAGAAAAAATATATTCTGAAATATATATATAAGTCTGAACTGGAGGATGAGATGCATGGAGCAGGGCCATTGAGGGCTGTTTTGCATAGCAACGGTTTTGCAGATAATTTCTAGGACAGTCATTTAACAAATCTATAATTTTTAACTGATTTCATAGATATGTTAAAGAGCTGTGGCCTTGCTTTGATCCAGGGGGATGGGAGTGACTTCAACCCATGATGTAACTAGAAGGCAACTTCCTCTGGGTTACAGCACTTGCATAAGAGCTTGCAGATGATTGGCTCCACACCATGGGGCCACACCTTTCCAGACTTACTATCACAGCCCAGTAAAGCTGGAAGAATGAGGGAGTGCTGGCAGGT